GATTGGTTGATTAGATAATTGCATTAATGAGAAATTGAACAGGTGTTCCTAATAATCCTTTAGGTGAGTGTAGATATCCAGCAGGATTTTTCCCCATTGAAATCTGATGCGTTTTCAAAGTGTTCCTTTAATTTTGTTGAGCAGTGTATAAAATCTATTACCAAGCACACATTTGGCGAAGTTTGAAGGCTGCCGAATACCTGATGTTTCCGGATCATGCAGATTTTTTTTTTTTTACTTATTTACAGTAGAGTAAACTGTATGATCAAACAGGAAACGGGCTGCTGTGATTTGTCTTTATCTGACGCACTGTGATTTTATTGGAGTTTTATGGCTTGTGCTCATCATTTTATCAGTTTTAACTGATGCGGTTTGAACGCCATAAATTTTATTATTATTATTATTAACAGTGGTCTTTGGACCCATAATAATAATTGGTGTGTCTATCCAACCCCCAGGACGTTTAGTACTGTCATGACCTGCTCGTCCGATCCTCCTGTGTGCCTTCTGTTTATCGGGGCTTTCCTCGTTACCTCGTGTTAATTCCCGATTGTGATCACCTGTTGCCTGTTCTTTCCTGCTTGTCTTGAGTATTTAGTCCGCGTCTGAGTTAGTTTCCCCAGGTCTGTCATTAACGTGAGCTCGCCGTGTGCTTCCCTAGTGATCCTGTCTGTCTGAATAAACCCCGTTTTGCCAGTATTCAGGGCTCCCTTCACCTGCTTGCCCGCTCGCCGACACCCGGTCAACACAACTACACGTTAAAAACATACTGTTGTTGAAAGTGAAAATATCTGTGGGTGATGAGTTAGACTGTATGTCTTTGTATTCTTTCTGCCCGCTGCTCTCTTTTCATACCGTATTTTAATGTGCTGTCGTTTTACAGAAAGCTAAAGAGCTGGCAAGTAAGGCAGTAGATGAGGACAAAGCCAAAAACTACGAGGAGGCGCTGCGCTTGTACTTCCTTCACCCTCCCGCACCCTCCAGCGTCTAAAGGCGGGTTTTTCAACCTTTCCTAAACCAGGGACCCCCCAAAGGGTGTGTAATCCCGTCATTATTTTAAGAAACCTATCTGCGCACCGTCTACAACACACCAACGGACCTCTCATCTATGCTGAGTGTGTAAAACAGCCTTTATTACCCTTTAACCTGCTTACATTACTAAATAACAAATTATGTCAGTTTGCTTGGTCATTTAAGAGCGGTAAAACTAGAGCCAAACATTTGATACTAATGATAATTGACTGGCTCTGTGCACCCCAGTTTGGTTCCACGTGCTGTCTGGGATAGGGTCCAGGCGCCCTGACCAGAATATGTACTTAGGAGATGAATGATTTTTCTGTTTTCTCAGATGAGACAGCTAGGGAGAAGGCCAAGCAGAGCATGACGGCCAAGTGTCAGGAGTACCTGGACAGGGTGGAGCAGCTGAAGACGTTCCTGAAGAAGACGGAGGGCGTTTCAAACGCAGGCAAACAAGCAAGTAGCAGTCAGGCAGATGACAAAGGGTACGAATAAGTTTCCCTGTCACACACTTTTAGTGAGCAGCCAAGTATTATAAAACACAAGATTGCCTTATTCAGTAGACACTTTTGAACAAAACAGTGTACAAGTGAGTTAAGTTTTGAGTCAGAGAGCATGCAGTAGCAGTTAGGTTTGAAGTAGCAGTTACAGTAGGTTTGAAGGCCTTGCTTAAGAACCCAGTTGTGATACAATAACTCAGCTTGGGGATACGAACCCATGACCCTCTGGACATGGGCACAGATCCAGTTACCTGAAGGTGGGATCGTGTTCTCCACATGTTCTCGCATCTTGACGCGCTCTGCTTATTTTCCCATTAAAATTCTGCCAACCTTCTCCCCTTATGTTCTTCGAAACAAGTGCGATCAGGTTGAAGATTCAGAGAAGAATCTGAAGGCCCAGCTGCAGGGTAACCATACTTCCCCCGTCTGCCATCACCTTTCTGAGGGTGTAGGGGGCTGCACTCACCTTCCCAGTATGATGCAAGCTTTTCACAGGAGCCATCGTCATGGAGAGGCCCAACGTCAAAGTGGAACGATGTCGCTGGTTTGGAAGGAGCCAAAGAGGCACTAAAGGAGGCCGTTATCCTGCCCATTAAGTTTCCACACCTGTTCACAGGTATGGGGGGTCACTCAATACTCTGGAATGTCTAGAAACATGTCTCCAAAAAGTGCTGCATTCTTGTGAGAGTAATACCTGAAAAAAGAGAAGAAAATACCTGCATAAGGTCCTTTGATTAGTGCTTTATAAGAGCGTCATCTATATGACTTTTAACCTCAGTATGAATTAGTCCCTCTTATGCCCCTCACCTTAAAAAAAATCCTAGGCTCCCCTCTGCCCCCTAATAGGTTCTGTACTAAAATAAATCAGACGCTGTTTTGTAGATGCTAGCATCTCCTGATGAGTTGGTTCCCCCTGGGGTGCACATCTGGGCCGGTATGCATAAAACTTCTCAGAGTAAAATTTCACTCTTAAATGCGTCAAAATTCTAAGAGTGACGTGATTCTGCTCCTACTCCCAGACTTAAGAATAAGTGGCATGCATAAACATTCTTAAGTGTTAAGACTTGGTCTCAGCTCCTAAATTATTTGAGAGCTGGAGAGGACTCCTAAGCCAGTTAGGAACTGAATGATGGCAGCTGCACTACACGCACCCAGACAGGGTGAAAGACAGGAGGTACTGCGGATTTACGATGATAACGAGTTGATAAAAAGATACAGGCTTGATCGTGAAGGCATTATTTTTGTTACTGACCTAATTAGGAACCGGATACAGTCTCCTACGTCACCTAAAAATGCACTTAGAGTTTAACTGAAGGTTATAAAGATGCTACGTTTTTGGCAACTGGAAAAATATAATAATTATTATTATTATCATCATCATCTATTATAGCGAGGGTCATAAGAGCAATATAAGTAATTACACAAACCTGTAGCTTGCATGCTTGCTTTATAAACTGTGATTTACTTTCGCGAGGTCGATAAAACATTACACCACCTTTTTTCACATTGCTCTGCTGAACGCCTTGTCCGAGCCTCCTAAGCTTTTTTTTGTCCGTGCTTGTAACAGCTGGGCCAAACTTTCGCCACACTACCTCCTTCCATTTAAGCACCAACTGTGCCAAAAGAACCGTTTTGTTTGTCGTCCAGTTTGGTTTTCTTTTACGATCCAATGTCTTGCTATGAGTTTTGTGTTTGACCCATAATTTATACTACATGTGCATCTATTAGTGGAAATTGATTGGTGATGTGCTAGGTAGATTTACATACAACCAATTAAAGGTATGATCACAAAAAGGTATGTTGTGTAAAGCTCTACATTAACAGTTTAATGTCATTTAATATATTCACCGTGCAGCTCCTCTATTGGTTGAACTCAGTATTTGGGGTGGGATTTTATTTGTAGTCCTCATTTCACGACACTTAAATGGTGGCTCCGTCAGCACTTAGGAATTGGGCTTAGACTTTGCTGAAAGTTACTTTTAGCAGCTTTATACAATGCTCTTAGGTCCTACTTTTCGCTAAGTTTTTTTTTTAACTCAAGTCAAAGTGTACGACCATTCTTAAGACCATTCTTAGGAAGTTTTATGCATACCGGCCCTGGTCTTTTGGCCCTCCTCCAGCTCGCTCTCTCTGTGCCTCTCCCCCAGGCTGGTGAAGAACCTCTTCAGCCTGGCATGGGAGCACAAGCCGTCCATCATCTTCATTGACGAGATCAACTCACTGTGCGGCTCACGCAGTGAGACTGAAAGCGGGGCAGCCTGGCGCATCAAGACTGAGTTTCTGGTCCAGATGCAGGGTGAGGAACCCAGACAGGCCGCGAGCGCAGACTGAGCCTTCGCCGTGTGGCGGGGTTGGATTCATACTGACAGCAATGTGGATTCGTGCCCAGCACACGTTACGATCGGGCAAGGGAAACCCCTAGATCTCAACGGCACCATCTGGAGTCGAGTTGGCAGAATTCTTTTTAACCCAAAGTGCTCTCTGAGGGATGTTTTGGAGTTTAATTAAAACATGTTAAAACGGCAAATAAAGTATGTGTTATGCTTGGTGTGTAAACAGTGGCTTATGGTGGTGGTTATTATCTGATTAACTCAGGTGTTGGGAACAACAATGAGGGAATTCTCATCCTGGGAGCCACGAACATTCCCTGGACGCTGGACTCCGCCATCAGGAGACTGTAATGTCCACCAGTATCTCGAAATGATCTGGAGATATTCGCCTCAATGAATTCTGGGACTTGTTCCTCCAGTCATCAGGTTACTCAACTTTGCATTGGTCGAGCAGCAGGAGATAACTAGGAATGGCACTGTGATGAAACGCATGCATACATGACACTTGACTATGTGGTTCAACGTGTGATCAATCTGGTCTTTTGGGATGACCCCTGACCAGGACATGAGTAAAGAACAGCCTCAAATGGACGAGGTGATGTGTTTTTAAGATGGCCCTTCTGTTTATCGGGGCTTTTAGGGAAATGTCATGATGCAGTGCTTTGCAAATGCCTTCACAGTTGAGCTGAGTTGGAGTGTGTCCTGTAGAGCAAACTTGGGGTCTTTCAGCTTTCCTTTTACCTTCAGCTCTTACCTGCTTAGTGAACTTCTGATTAGTGCAGGATTTATGAGCACCTCTTGATATGGTTTTTATAGGTGAGGGTCCCTCACCCTGGTTTTAGATCCAAAGTAGATCCTGCTCCAGAAAATACCTGGCAAACCTCCCCTACACCTCTGAGGCCCAGCCATGTGCCGCAGGTTCGAGAAGCGCATATACATCCCGCTGCCAGAGGAGCACGCCCGCTCCTCCCTGTTTAAGCTGCACCTGGGCTCCAACCTCAACAGCCTGACGGAGGCCGATTTCTTTGCCCTGGGCCGGCAGACAGAGGGCTACTCCAGGGCAGACATCAGTATTGTGGTGAGGGATGCACTCATGCAGCCAGTACGGAAGGTGCAGTCCGCCACGCACTTCAAGAAGGTGTGTGCCCAGAGTATGTTTCACGCTGTGAGATATGCATGCTTTTCACAACGCACTTATCCTGTAACATTTAAAAAAATTAACTACTAACTAACTAATTAGCACCCGTAGCTCTACGTAGAGCATTGTGCTAGTTATGCAACGGTGGCAGGCCTACATCGCAGGAAGGACACATGGAGGCTGAGTCCAAATTCAGGGGCTGCATCCTTCGAAGAACATGGTCTATGTAGCCTTTGTAGGATGTGTCCTTCGAAGGACGTGGTCTATGTAGCCTTTGTAGGATGTGTCCTTCGAAGGACGTGGTCTATGTAGCCTTTATAGGAAATATCCTTCGATGGTCCACACAATGAATTGTGGGATATGTTGTGCTGTCTAGAAATGCGTCATCCTTTGCAAAATGCGTAGTTACGAAGGATCCACCGGATGGATGTATTCGGTTTCTGAGAGGAACCTTAGAAAGATGCAGCCCCTGAATTCAGACATAGCTAAATTGTAACCCTTCCGCTCTGTCACTTTGGATAAAAGCAACAGTTAAATGCAATTAATCTTCAGATAACTTCTAAAGGTGGCCACATACTTCAAACTAAATCAGCATCATTTTAGCTATATGATGTGGTATGAGCTGTGATCACTGTGTAGGATACCTGAGGCGAACTTTCTCATTTGTTATGATCCCACCCGCTGTCCACGATTGGCTGACAAAGTGTGACATCACAGGGTTGGTCAGCAGGACTAATTATGTAGTTACTGGCATGCTATGCATTGCACCATTTGCAAATACTGTAAATTAATGTGTATTTATTTTGATAGTAAATGTCAACTGCAATATGTTTGCTATGGAATGCATGTATGTCATTAGCATTTAAGCGTGACACTATTTTAAATGGTTCCTCAGTTAGTATTAAACCAATAGTGGCTGTTAATAAAGAGAGCGACATTGATTTTAAAAGAGCTGTCATCTCCTTTATTGAAGTGACCCACACACTTGCCACAGTATGTTTATTTAAGTCTGGGTCCGCTGCATTGAATATATTCTGTGCCCTCTAGGATTGTGGCATGATAGAACAAAGTGGCAACATCAAGATGGCAGGTTGTTCTCGCCGAAGTGTTACATTTTGTTCTGTTTGGATGTCATTTTATGTATTTGGCTACCTTTAGGGTTATTGGGCAGCAAGTGGAGAGGAGGTTGAAGTCTCAGGATGGAGCGTGCTTTGAACATTAACCTGAATCCCTGAAGTAAATTATACTGCTGCATCAAATCTGTCTTTTTTTTTTAAATCAAAACACCAGCTGATTGTTAATAAACTGGGATCACAAGGATATTTATGACAACAATGACATGTGTGTGATGTACAGGGACGTGGGGCATCATGGAACAACCCAGACGAAGTGGTGGATGACCTTTTGACTCCCTGTTTGCAGAGTGACCCCAACGCCGTGACAATGACGTGGATGGAGGTCCCTGGAGAGAAGCTGCTGGAGCCAGTGGTCTGCGTGGTGAGTGAATGAAAAACCGCCACATTCGTAGAATTCAAATGACATGTTGTAATGTATACCAACACTAGAGGGTGCCAGATGATGCTTGCTCTACTAACCTAACACCCCAAGAACAACTGCGGTGGTTTGTATTCTTGGGAAACTTGGTGTTTCCTGTTGAGTGACTTATCTCCCCTGTGCAGACGGACATGTTGAGGTCCCTCTCAAACACCAAGCCCACGGTGAATGAGCAGGACCTCGAGAAGCTGAAGAAGTTCACAGAGGATTTTGGCCAGGAGGGCTGACACACGGCAGTGATTTGCCCAAACAGACGGATGCTCTCTTGCTGTCCATCTCTCCACTTCCTGCCTGACCTGCACTCTGTTCCATTTTGGGGTTTCCTAATTGCTCTCGGAAGGGCTTTGGCCCCGTAAAACACTCTGTTGGGAAAATCATTAGGGGATCAGACTGACAGGCAGCAGCATGCATACAGGGATCATTATGGAATGTTCTTTCTGTGGTACACTTGTGAGATCTGAACAGAATGTGTGACTGCAAACTATGGTCTAGTTAAGTATTTTTTCCACTTTGTATTTTTAACGGGCTACGGTGTGTGACTTTAAGGTCTTTTTATATTCATCGTGAAAAAAAAACTCAAGATTAAACACAATATGTCTGGGTCACTTCTTCTTCAAGCCTGATTACAGTATGCCTAAAGCAGGTTTCCTTCCTAAATTCCCTCATGGTGGCGCTCTCCTAGAAGCCAAGGATACAGGATGTAACGTAAACATCTGGACAGCATGTCACAGAATAATATGGACCCAAACACAGAGCAGTTTTTCTTGTACATTGTTAAACCCTCAGCTTATATAATGGCGTCAATTCTGCCCAAGGAGTAGGGGATTGTCTGTGTGTGGTATCCACGTGTGGAGGACACCACCTTCCACCTGAACACTGTACCTGCCTCATCCTGTACGTCTAAATAAAAAAGTTGATCAAACCTGTCTTTGGGTGTGCCACTCTGCTCAGACTGCTGTAATGGCCCCGTATGCCCCCGGTGGCCATTTTGAAGGCATCTCGTGTGCTGCAGGTGTGATTGGTGTACTCAGGTACAGTATGTCTTACTGCAAGGAGAAGGGCCAGCTGCTTTCTCGATTGGCCCGTTAACATCCGACTGAGGGCCCTGCTATTTTATAGCTTTGCCATAATTATTTGTGTAACAGATAAAACTTGCCACTGTCAGAGCTGTATATACGTGTGCGCATGTTGGTTTAGTGTTCTGTAACTAAAAAATTTCGGCAGTTGCCTTTAAGAAAACGACGCACCTTATGTTTTCCTCAATTTGGAACTGCCCGCGGAAGCGGTAGGTTGTGCTTGTAATAGTGTCTCATTTTATAAAATTATTTATTTATTATATTCTATCGACAATTTTGTTATATTAAAGTGTATGTATCTGGACGACTTTAAATATGGACAAAGTTTTGTGAGGTTGAATAACTGTATATCCATTCTATCTGTTCTGTGAACCTCGGCCCGTAGACAAGTAGCCACCAAGTTATATGGTAAAGTGAGTGTTTTTGCATTTCCAGAACTTTGCTGTGATTGCAGTGTTCATCTTTTCACGGGTACATATTTACACTGTAATTGATATTACTATACTTGCGCAGTGTGGAACTGCCCGCGCAAGCGAACAGTGCTGTTAATGCAGTGTTCCTTTTTTTTTTTTACAGAATAAGCCAGTTCGATTAGGAGTCTTTAGTTGCGGTGCATTCAGCTAACACAACGCAAGATCACGCCTGTTACATTTGCACTAAATGCCCTAATGAGCAGGGATATATACGGAGTTGGGGGGGCACAGGAACGTTGGTCCCAGCTGAAAGCTGATAGGTCCCTGTAGTGCCCCTCCCCAGTCATTGGCTGATTCAAAACATACCACTGGGTAATAATAATAATGCTGAGCAATCTATCAATTACAGCCAGAGTTGCCACTCGTCCCATATAATACAGGATTGTCCCGCATAATACTGGATGCAGCAGTTTATTTCTCCAAAGCGGGACAATCCCGTATTAAAAGGGACGGGAGGCAACACTAATTATAACCTTTCTTATGCCCTCCCACCTTAAAAAACACAGGTTGGCGCAGGGGTGTTTCTAGCTATCGAAAGGACCAGGGGCTAAGTCAAGTTTACCTGGGTCTTGGTTTATTTTTTGAAGGAAGATTGATTCGAGTGATCAGACCTAACGATTGGCCCCTGCTTTCATCTCAATCTGTCCCTCCGACGCCCCGTCAGGAAGAGGGCGGCATTGTATCTTCTCCATGCCTCCCGTGATAACTGTGCATTGGTGTGGGAGCCTGGAGCCAAACGGTGAAGTGATGCCGAGCAGGATGCATCTCGCTCCGCCGCCCGCATCCTGCGATGGCGGGCACGCATGTTTGTACTGCTCCATTCTCTCATTTTCCATCGTTACGCTCCTTCCCTTTCCACCATTTACCGGCAGGCGTTTTTGCGTGGGAGTGGCGTCGACCCATCGAGCGTGACTCTGCTCAGAGTGCCTGCAGCACAGCCGTGAACGAGAAATCAAATTGAAAAAGTTCGAGTTTCAAACTGCTGAAGTTGGTTTAACTGCTGCACTTAGGACGTTATAAATCACCGATTCAGGGAAGTTCCATTTTCCGTCATGTAGGGGATTCCCCTTGTCTTTCCCGAGTTTTTCCTAGCCCCGAAGCTTGTCGTCCATAAAGCTGCTCTGTCGCTTATCACAGAAATCGTTTTACACTACACCACAAATCGCGTCTCTGCGATGGGTGTTATGTGCAGCAGACTGCACCATCACATTTGGCTTGGATTCTCTCTAGGTAATCATTTATCAGACAGCCATGGTGGTTGGGGACACAAACTTTACGCCTCCTTTTTAGCTCTTAGGCTAATGGCTGGAAACGTTATTGCGTCGACCATTTAAAATCCAATCTGGCCTCCATCGCAGAACGTGGGAGATCTACTGTTTTGCAAATTGCATTTTCAATATGACAACAAAAACACCGTCTTAGTGCCCCAGTTAGCAAAATGTATTTTTTTTCTGTGCTATGATGAACTGTCTTGAAAAAGATAGTTAAGGAGTCGACATCATTATGTTTAAGACTTTTTTTTATGAAGAACCATAAATCACTATCCTGTAGTCTTTCCAGCCTGCTCGCCCGTCTGCCTGTGACGTCTCTCCTTCCTTCCCTGCTGCTGTACCACTGCTCATCCTGCCATCAGAAGCAGCACCATCACCTGCCTGTCCCCCACTTTGAGACACTAATGTTAAAATTGTGACAGTGTGAATTGGGACTTTGCTATCCTGCTCATTTGACTTCCTCTGCCAGCCCCTGGAGGATGGACTCCCCCTTTGAGTCTGGTTCCTCTCAAGGTTTCTTCTTTCTAGGGAGTTTTTCTTTGCCACTGTCACCGCTGGCTTGCTCACTGGGGGCTTTGGGCAGGGAAGCTGTAAAGCGCTTTGAGACAATGTAATGTTGTGAAAATCCACTATACAAATAAAATATTGAATTGAATAGTGTGGAACAAAAGTGGAGAAACTGTCTTGCGTCTGCCAATCAAGAAAAGCTTATTATTCTATTAATCTCTTTTGTTCCTAGATATGTACAAACACTCTGTTGACCTTGGGATGTGAACCTATACCCTTCTGATCACAGTCACAACATCCTAACCCACTGAACAACAGGTACGGAGTCCCCAATATGTACACAGTGGTCTCCATTGTTTGGAAACCTTGACTTTCAGATTCATACATTTATGCAGATGGGTGTTTGTGATCGATGACACTGGCATGTAGACTTTTATAATGTAACTAGAAGCAACAGTTGCCTGGTGCTGAGCTATGTCCGCATGGCAAATAAAGTATATCTTAATATTACATGCACTGTCTAGGCCAAATTACAGCCTGCAGCACAAATTATTTCAACATTAAAAGTTCATAATGTAATTCAGTATAAAACTATACTGTAGAGGGCAGTAAAAGCCTTGTTCACTCATTTTCTAAATACAGTGGTACCTCGGTTCTCGAACTCACTAGAACTCGAATTTCTGGAAAGTCGAACAAACCAGTTTGACCTAGAACTCGATCTGAATATCAGAAGTCGAACCGTGAACGCTGACCTAATATAAATTGTACGCGCCAGGAAATTAGTCATACTACAATGCAATTCTTACTTGAATGCCTTCTTCACAGGCTGGACGATTAACCAAATAAAGCAGCGCAACATTACAGTAACTAACAATAAATAAACCACTAACTTACGTGTACTATTAGAGCATTTATGTCATTTATTGAAACTTTATTTTACTAGGTAAATTAACTGAAAACCAGTTCTCACTGCTTTATGTGATATTCGGGAGAAATAGCACATTACGCATCGGAACTGCCTGGGATACAAACGTCATGCGTGTAACTAAACTCTTTAGCCAATAAGGGCAAAGGTATGTCGTCACGGGGGCGGTTCCAGTTTGTGCAGCCAGGTGAGAGGTCACAATGCATCTAACCGTAATGCATTGCGTCAGGATCAGAATGCGTTGCTTTATGCCAGCGCTGTAAGCAAGTCGAACGCACCCAATGACCGGACTGGGGAAACAAACTGAAACGCGGACTTAATACAGAGGACTAACGACAACAACCAGAAACAGCTGATCACATGGGGATCCCACACGAGGTTAACGAGGGGGCGTGGCACACAGAAGGAGCGGACGACTGGGGCAGGACAGGGGTAATGTTGGGATAAGATCTTTATCGTTTTGGAAGCCATTAAGAAAAAAATGCTCTTCTTGTTTTATGCTGTTCATTTTGTGCTTAAATGCTAAAAAAGAAAAAAAAACCATATTTAGGTGTAATTTTGAACCAATTAATTGATTTTGCATTATTTCTTATGGGGAAAATTCGATCAGAACTCGAACTTTTTAGGATTCGATCCGGAGTCCGGAACGAATTAAGTTCGAGAACCGAGGTACCACTGTATTGGGATACCCTATAGAATTCCAACTTTTACCACTCATTTGTCAAAGTGAAATAAAGGATATATTTATCCATTCGTTATATACTTATATACATACTGAACAAATTCACCAAAATTAACTTTATTTCTGCTTTTGGCATTCTTTCAGCAGATTTAAAATACTTTATTTAAATACAATATTATTTGCATATTGTCTGTACAATGAATTACCCGCCAATACATTATCAGTAAATTTCATCCTGTTTCCATTTCATTAAAACGTCCCCTTAGTTTCTTAGCTTGTCTTTAAGCGGTTATTTGTCTGAAAGACATAAGTAAATAATTTCATCAACCATCCCCCCCCCCCCCCCCACGAAAATTCCCACAAGCAACAAAAGCTTTTATGCTACACGTAGCTTCTTTGTGTGTCATCGGCCGCTCCAGCAAGATGTTTAAGAGATTAAGATAAATCCTTCCACCCGCTCTCAGCACTCCACGATTATGATTATACATGCAAAAACGCATAGCAAACATACAAGCAGTAGACGTAGCATAATACAGATCTAACAGATATTATGGAATATATCAGGATTGTTTTTGAAAATATAAAAGGATTTTTTTCTTTTAAAAATGTTATCTAGAGCGCAGTTAACTTTCTGTGTATCTGAAACGGCAATACACCGACTTTACACTTGAGTTCAGATAAATAATGGCTCCAATATAAATTACCTGTTTTATTTATACAGATATTGACAGACCTGTGATTCCCAAAGGTTACAGCCACTTAAAATTATAGAGGGGTGGCGTCATTTATTAATGTAAATTATTGTAATTGTCTTTACAAGGTGACAAAAGATGACGTCATGTAACAGCGATAAAGGAAACCTGAAGTAGACACTTTGCCGCTTATTAATCATTACAGCCAGCAGGATAATCCTTCAAAGCACCTTGTGTAATTAATCATTTAATATTCTCCAGATAATACCATAATCAGGTTGTGCTGAGTAAGGAAAACACTTCTAGCTTTTAAAATATTAAGTATTAGTTTCTGTAGTGCCTGTATAAGTAATTGCATGATTAAAGGGCAATTTGATTCTATTTCTCTGCACGGTAAGAATAATTAATGAATAAATTCCATCCAGAAAGTCCAGTGATTGATAATCTGTTCACGTTTGTGAATAATTTCTTTTAAAATGTAACATAAAAAATTGAACACATACTTTTTAGTAAAATTATTTCATAAATGTTTTGCCATCAGCAATGAACTCCTAACAAGTAAGGTATAAATCTAAAAGAAATACACTTCACGGAGCCGCTTGTACTGTGATGTGAACACGCTTTGTCTCACAGGATCTCTGGTGTGACGGTATTCCCAAGAGTTCTGCCCGCAGTTTACCACAGCATGCCGCTCATTCATGACACGGCTGTCATTATCTCGGCCCCCGCACATCCCCTATTAACGTCGCCCGACAGCCTTTCTGTCGGTATCCCATTAAAATAACCGACAAAGGGGTGGGGTGACTTGCTCCCCTCCATTGTTATGAGATCGACTCGGGGAGTGGCCTTGTGCGCACCCCCCCCAATCATCCCTGCATGCTCAGAAGAAAAAGCCCCCTTATTCAGATTACAGCGGCCAAGCATACTGTTATCCGCTCTTCGACTCAACGCGATTTGAGGCGAAGCACATCCCAGATCCCGCTTGTGCCTGGGTTAGATTTCATGGGGCTATCTCTACCTGCCTGGACTTGAGACCCTGATCTCAGGTTCTGGCCATGGGGAAAAAAAGTATTTTTAAAGCAAGAAATCCTCCATTCTGTATGGTGGATGAAGTAGGTAAGCCTTACAAGCAGGCTGTTGAGGATACAGCATACAAGGGTGTTGTGAGATTTAGAAATTCCGTTTCTGATTAGGAATTCAGAGAGGGAGGCTTTGATACTCAAAAAGCAGCGTGCAGAGACCCATCGTAAATGAGCTAACAGAAGTAGGTAAAAAAAATCACATGGTATTAAGAAAACGGGAAAAATCCAGCTACCGCATGAACCCCTCGCACTGGATCTCCGTGCAGTAAAAGCACGGACGGCCCGGGCTCCGAGACTGCGGTTCAATGCGGTCCCTGTCCGCATATCCCCATCGATACTCGGGAAACTTGCTCAGCTGCACGCCATCATAAAAAACGTGGCTGCTCCACGTACTATTCTCGGCTACAATCTCATGCAAAACGCGCCGATCACCTAGGCTACACCAAGCACACGAACGTTTGAAACTCGCATATTTTGTATTTAATTTTTTTTTTTTTTGAAGAATCATTCAACGCAGCGGTTAAATGCTACTTTATCAGTAAATAATATTCCGCTGTAATAAAGTGGCGAACGGGAGGCGATCCCCATCTCCGCTGCGGGAAACGCGGCGAATGGTCCGTCTGAGCGACAGGTCCTCCAGCACAGAGACGGAAAAAAATGAATGGCGTGACGCAGAGGAAATACCTCACAACACAGACCCGTAACAGAAGCCCGGAGCCCGGGCAAGGACTTCCAGACGATCGTCGGTGCGCTTCTCTCTCTCCCTCCTTCACTCTCACCCTCCCTCTCGCCGAGGTCGTGAGTCTAATGACTGTATGGTGACTTGGGACTTGGGATTTTCTCACAGCCTTAAACGGGTTTTCAGATTGGACTTTCCTTGCATTTATTTTTTTTCTCCTCATGTGGATGGGATATAAGTGCATGTCGACAGCTTGCCTGCTAGCTAATGCGCTCTCTTCCGTTTTTCTCGCACACGGCAAATGTCAGAGGAGTAATTTAACCCAGAAAGGGAAGCAACTGTTTCGGGCAAAAATACACATTACAGAATCTCGACCGGTGTGTCCAAGCGGGCACTATACTTTCCAAAGGGCTTGACAATAAGGAGGATACATTCCAAACGACTACTTTTCCAAGGATTTTTCTGGTTGCTGGAAGGGGCGTATCATTAACCGACGTCGGGCATTCCTTGCGGATTTCGCTTTTACTGCGCTGGATTAAATTTGCTCCATACAGTAAGTTATTTAGCTGCTGAAAGTTACCGCGATCTGGCGGGGACGCGTATACGCGCACACCCCCCATCCTCACCGCCCTCGGTATTTCACCATGTTTGCATATTTATTACATTTGCGGCGGAGATACATTTTAGCGCCTTACTTGTATTTAAACATCTGAATGCGTATTCTTGAGGAACAGGAAGAATACCGCACACCTCCAAATGTCTGAAGAATTACAAAACCAATACCTTACAAAGAATATCCTCCGGTGATCCCAACAGCGGATTATAAAAAGTAATTGATCGAAATTAATAGGGGAAATGAATTCTCTGTGATAAATTAAAAAGGAAAAATTGGTTTTGTCGGACCAGTTTGAAGCCGTGATGGCAAACGACGTCCCATACGACAGCCGAAATATTGTAGAGATCTATATATACCATAAACTGCTGAAAACAGGCTATGTGTGGGAATTCCAGGCGGCCGGAGACACCGATTCTCCCAATAATGGATCGGTGGACTCCCCTCCCGGCTCTCAAGTTTTGGCACGCCGGTCCCAAGCAGCTGCCGCCGGCGGAGAGGACGCGTCGCCTGTCCGCAGCCGGACGCCCAGATTTGATCCACACGCCCGGCTGCACAGGGTCCTGCGCGAAGCGGGGGACGAGATCGAGAGGATGTTCCAGCGGGACTTCTCAGAAATGCACGAAGAGCTGCACATCACGCCCAGCACGGCGCAGCGCCGCTTCACGGCCGTCATCGAGGAGCTGTTCAGCGATGGCGTGAACTGGGGCCGTATTGTGGCGTTTCTCGAGTTCGGCGGCACCATGTGCGTGGAGAGTGTCAACCGAGAGATGACGTCCCAGGTGGATAACATTGCACACTGGATGACGGAGTACCTGAACGGACCACTGCATAACTGGATCCAGGAAAATGGTGGCTGGGTATGTCTAATTAAATTAAACTATAAGGTTAACTTTTCTTAACCCCCCCCCCAAAAAGAACCCAAATTCCTGCTGTGTCCGAGTGTGAGTCGCTGCGCCGTGTATATCCCAAACAAGGCCACTGTAATCAAAAACATATTTGAAATACCCGCCTTATTGTTTCTCGAGGTCTACTGAGGGTGTATATTATCCACCTACCACACAATATAATTATGCATCACGTAAGCCTATACATTCTTTGATTTTGCGCCAAATCAAGAGTAAATTGTGAAAATATGTGCGCTTATCGTACAGTTTCCCATGCAGCCCTCATAAACTGCAATAGATGTACTAGTATCGTGAATACCGAATTTGTCTCTTGATTTAAATGTCACCGTTTGAATGGGAGTGACACAGTGTAGCTTGGGGAAATACCGGACACCGTTCCGATTCCTTATCTAGGCTGTTTCTCTTGTTGTGGGTTTGAAGTCCGCCCTATAATTGCGTTACGCTGAGCGTAAGTCTCCGTGGCGTCCCCGACAGGCTGGGGATTTTTTCGGGGTTCCTCCGGGTTTATAGCTTTCACTACCGCTAAGGAGCAGTTTGATCAAAGCACGCGATCGAGTAAATGCGTGACAGAGATCCGTTATGCCACCGACGAACCGGATAAACCTAATCGGACATTGTTGATGGAGAGAGTTATATCTTAAAAAAAGATAGAAACTTCTGGCCAAAGGCTTGCAGGATTGAAGCCCCAGAACCCCTGTCTGGTGTATAAATTTGTCAGATGTGAAGTAAAGCTCGAACGCTGGTCCGTTAGGGTCCATCCTGGGCGGTTGTGATCTGGGTGTTATAGCAGCAGGCGAGCCCTGCAATCTTGTGTTCAATATGTGACACTGAAATGTTGACGTGACACCAGTCCGAATGAGTGACAGCTGGCGACAGCTTTGCGGAGACCCCTCTCACTCCTGGCATCATGTAAAATGAACCCCAGGAAGGGCGTTGGGAAGGGGGGCTCGCCTAGCGTGTCGTTTATCCCCAAGGGTCATCGACGTCCTTGTGAACAGCTCACGTTCGTTTTTTTCCTCCTTCATCCCTTAGGGTGATGAGCTGCATTGCAATTGGGTCATAATCAGCACAGAGTTGGTTTAAGGGGATTTTAATATGCATTTGCATTAATTATTATTCCCTGGTTCTTTGTCTGGGGGTGAGGAGCAATCAGCTGCTAATTTATGGCTCATTTCATTTAAGGTATGTTTTAGCTGTCATACAAGCAGGCTGAGTCGTCTTTGGAAGGCAGGATGCTAAGGTTGCTGATGCGAATGGTTCAGTCAGAGCGGTGTCTTTGATTGGCTGCCTGTTTCGAAAGGAGCCCGTATCACTGTGATAACTCGCACGGCTGGTATCTGGCTTTTCACGGCAATGCACATTTGTGCTCCTGATTTCACTTTGTAGGGCGTTCCGTCTCTGATCCCATTAGGCAATTCAGGCTGTCAGAGTCGGTGCATCAGTGAGACAGCGGGAGATCAGCTCTAAGCATCTTTTTTTGGAAGTTGCAGGTGTTTTTCTCTTCTAATCTGATTGGCGGCTTGGGATGAAGGAATGGGAGTCTGTTTCAGCATGCGTCTGGCAAAGCTGACGTTCTGCTCTGGTTTTTCTGCAAGGATACCAGACTCCATGCTGCGTTAAGAAATGGCAGTAAGCCTTTCCCTGTAATTCAGTGTCTGGAAATTTTTCGTTTTGTCTAAGGTGAGGTAATCTTCTTAGCGGCACATATGCATGTAAACGAAGTTAATCCTCTGTAACGGAGTTAGGCAGAATAGGCGTGCGATGGTAACAGTTTGAAAATACCCCGTGAAATGTTTCTGAGATCATGATTCGAGATGTCAAAGATGGGTTTTATCCCATGCTTATTTCAGAGCAATCTGAACGATCGTTGATTTTTCAAGGTCAGGTAGAAGACCTCATATGTTGGGCGTGAAGCTGAGTAGCGGGTTCGAGCGAAAGACGTAAAAACAGCACGCATGAGTGAAACATGTTTGGGTGGATTCCGTCTGGGGCAAAAACGTTCCACCTCACCAGTAATTCATAGTTGTTTCCACCTCACATTTACTGATGTTTGTTAAACCTTGTCTGGAAGCTTTAACATCTAATTATCTCTGTGCAGAAGGCATGACCAGCACCATAATGAGACACCTACAATTATTTTGACCCACTTACCCATTGTCTTATTCCTATATTGGTATGATTTATTTTTCATTTTTTAATCCAATACTGCTCCTTACATTTTTGTTAAGGGTACAGCTCCTCAAAGCATCACCAGAGATTGACTGCAGTCATTCCAAAAACCAAAAAGGTCTTGAAAATGACAGTATGGTATTCATTCAGTTCTCCACCACCGGTGATGGCTTTCGGTGGCTGCCCTGTCTGGATTGTGGTGTTCGGATGTAACACATGTAGCCCAGGTATTCCCAGGAGTCATGTGACCAGGAGAAGGTCTTAAGCACTGAAAGAGGATCACATGATTTTGCCAGAGAATAGGATTTGGGTTCAGAAGCACAAGGAGGGCTATTAATGCCTAAGGATGTCATTTAGTGGGGAGACACCACTTGTCAGAAAAATGGGCACGAATTTCTACCTCTGCTTTTCACTGGGGCTGTACCCTCAGGGGTCAGGCAATTGTACCCTATAGCTGTAGGTAATTCTACCTTTTAAGGTACAGAAATGAACTCTGAGGAACATTCCCAAGGTAAAAACAACATTAATGTACCCCCAATAGTACAAAAATGTTCATCAGAGTCCATTTCTGTACCACAGTTATCTACAGCTAAGGGTACAATTGGCATATCCTTGAGGGTACAGCCCCCATGACAAGGTACAAATTGGTACTCTTCTGACAGTGGAGCATCAATCCAAACATATACCCTTGTCATAATTAGCACAGCCACGCCCCCTCTCCCTCTAAACCGTGGTCTTGATGGAATCTTCTGGACTAGCATTTCATCCACCCCCGGGTGGGTAAACACACATGTTATTCTTTAACTGAGCTGGCTAAGAGTTGCCAGCCCCCCGCGTGAGGACACCGTTCACGGCATGGCCTCGTGTCTTGGAAACCGAGAGCTGTAGTTTCGGTGCACAGTGTGGGTCGAGAGCAGGCGGGTGACGCGTTTGAGATCCTACCCGCTTTCACTCACCCACGAGTGACTCGTCGCCGGTTAACCCTGAGATGCGTGAAGTCTATTTAACAGAGGAGTAGAGAGCGACACAGAACACTGGCACTGCAGAAGAAATGCCTGGGACTTCAAACGAGAGCTCAAATGCACAGCTGCTCTTTTCTACCGCTCCTTACCTCACGTGCATCCTGAACACGGAGGCTTTTCTTTTCCCACTGGTAAAACCAACGACAGATCTGATACGCGGAAGATGTCTCGGAGGACCTTCCCGGGCTGGCGTGTAGAGGCAGAGCCACGAGTGGCCGCTTTGTTGCCGTGCACGGGCTCCTGCGCACGTGCTCAGTCGCAGTTTTGCATTCCCATGTCTCTGATAGGCCTTTGGTTATGTTATGCAAATTCAGTGGGCGTGGTCATATATGTCTACAGTAGGATAGGCTCTGACTGCTGCAGATTAACTGATCTCTCTTTAGTGAATGTCTTTTTTAAAGAGATATTCGTGTTTCTGTTAGTGTTAATTACTTCAGAGCTTAATGGCGCTTAGTGAACTATGTTGAAAAAAATCTATTTATTATTACAATAATAAGGTATGTAGAAAAATGAATGATAGACCTATATTCTGTAATCCAGTACTCTCGTTTTGGGTTCCTTGTTGTCAGTGAAACAGGTAGCTTTTTACGGTCCCTGTTCCCATAATCCGGGGGTTTCCCAGGTCATCTGTCTCATTCCTGGTCTTGGCAGTGATCACAGCTTACTTGCAGTTTCGCTTGTGTCAGGAGTCTGGGCCCCATCGCCGCTCCATTGTGGCTCAAAGGCACTGTGGCTGAGTGTAGGATGAATCTGGCGCTGGGAAGCGGATAATCTTCACGCCTCTGTTTCAGAAAAGGATGCCGAATGTGTGTTTTATACCTGCGTGTGGGCTGGAGGGGTGTGTGCGTGTGTTTGTTTGGAGGGAGGGAGCAGCATTTAATGGAGACAGCGCACACACTCATCTTCCCATTTCTGTGCCTCCCACCCGAATTTGTGTCTATGACATGAGCTAAGACTCAACAGTGCAGTGAGAGCATGGGGGAGAGAGACAGGGAGGGGGAGAGAGAGACAGGGAGGGGGAGAGAGAGACAGGGAGGGGGTGAGAGAGACAGAGGGAGAGATGCACACAGGGAAAGGGATAAGGTGAGAGAGATGGAGGGAGAGAGGAACAGGGAGAGGATGAGAGAGGCGGAGGGAAAGACAGGGAGAGGGTTAGGCATACGGAGAGAACGAAAGAGTATGAGAGAAGGAGGGAGAGAGACGGAGAGAATGAGAGACAGCGAGAGAGGCAGGGAGAGGGTGAGAGATGGAGTGAGAGATACACACAGGGAAAGGGAGAAGGTGAGAGAGATGGAGGGAGAGAGGAACAGGGAGAGGATGATAGAGGCGGAGGGAAAGACAGGGAGAGGGTGAGGGAGACAGCTTTCTTTTCCTGAGACCGATGCCTTCAAACAGACCCATGTTAAGCATGTTATTTGTCAGCTCAGGCTGATGCAGAGGGAGGGGGGGGGGCAGAATGTTTGCTGGGCCCTTCATAGAGGAGCAGGTGGCTCCAGATCGGGCTAGAGGGGGGACAGAGGCACTCAGCATGTGGAAAACTTACTGGAAGGCTATGAGTTTGAAGTCCTGGGAAGCTAAACTGAATTAGTGCATGCAAAGTTTGGCAATGAACATTTGTCCATGAAAACTGCAGTATAATTGTGGTTATTGGCAGTAGTATAATTCTGTGTGATTACACATAAAAATCTACATGTGACATGAACACGAACACAGGTGACCTGACACATGGCTTTGGGGGAGTGTGACTGAGTGCATGGGAGA